ACCATCAAGACGCCTGCCATTTGATATAAATAAATATTTGACGGAATCTACCTAGCCCACTTGATAACAAATCCCAGTGATAGGCGATAAATTAAAGGAGGTTGATACCGAGGTGCACTGGCACATTATGTACACTAAATCCAACTTTTCGCATACTGATAAAGTTCTAGAGAGGGAGGGGGTGGGGGTACTGAGAAGGGCACATCGTTGTAATGGATGAACAAAGAAATCTAATGGCCACCCAGACAGGCTCGAATGTGCGGCGTGATACTTATCGCGTAGTTAGTAAGTGCGGCCGTTAGAGCAGACATCTCTGCCCGAAGCCAATCAATAGACCCTGAGTTGTTTAACAAACTCCATCGTATTTTAATGACTAAGTTCTGGGATAGGCTCATTTTTCGAGTAAGCGTATTGCTAGTTGTGCGCCTCTTTGCTCTGTGCTATGTGAGTGATCTTGCCATAGCGATGACTGAATACAAGTTTATGCCCATTAGTAACAATCCGTTAGAGTCTTCAATGCTTATTGCATTTTTTTACAACGAATTTAGAATTAAATGTTCTTTTAGTTATTGAAGATTTATTTATAATATGGGTATTAAAGTGAAAATAATAAACAGGTTATCGTTTGCACGTCCTTGGAAATTTATGTTTATACGATAGCCCAATTATTTTCCATTTTAACCCCTTGTACATACTTTGTAAATACGTAATTTCCACAATTTTTTTCGTATAATTTGTCCTTATATTTAACAAGGAGAGTGGTTAAATATGATTATTAAATTAGGAAATGTCATTAGATACAAGATTTTTAATTACTTGTACACGCCAGCTATTTGATTCCCTTAATTCGTTTTTAGATTTTCAAATGGTAACCTATAACGAAACAGAGTTGGAAAGAGCTTCCATCCTCGATGATCCCGTAATTTAACGAATTTCGAATAGCATTGAATTTTTTTAGGATATTACTCTAGAACAAGTTCTGCTGCACCCTGAGTTTACTGATGCCTACAGGGAATATGATAATAAACTAATTGATTAGTAAGTTTATATTCTCGCAGTATATCGTTCAGCCTCTGTCAAACTCAAAATATTCTTCGAATGATCGAATTTATTCGTCAAGGTCCTGATCTGTCAAAATCTTCCGATAAGCAATATGAGTATGCTTCTATGATTGTTCAATTTCTTTGATATCATTTTTAGTTTGATTTGCCGAGTTGAATTTCTTTTCCAACAAGATGTCTCGAGTGTTAAGGCGGCTTTTCTCTCAAATACTGTGACTCTTGATGCGCTGTATAGTATTTTAGAGGATGATGAATCCTCTTCTCGTCTTTCTACTCTCACTCTAACCTGCCGCATTTTTTCAACCGTTTATCGAGATGCCGCCCTTCTTCAGTTTCTTGCCACCAAGCCCGAGTTGGTTTCAACATTTTTTCGTCTCGTTGACTATGATTGTGTTCGTGATCTCTTCATCTCCTTTTTCCACATTTACGAGTCCTCTGCATTTGCGCTTTTTCAAAGTTTGGATAATCAGCACTTTGTCCAACGTCTTCTAAAGCGTTTCCTTAGTGAAGAAACGAAGGAGTCCCCCTCTGCAAGTACCGACCAGAAAACTCTTATTGGACATTTTCTCTGTCAAATTATGTTCGTCATGCGTCAATTGAGTCAAGCTGCCCACCAACCAGCTAATCCTCTTTTGGCTCACTTGGAAAGGTATGTTGCGCTCTTTGATTTCGCTCTTTTACCTCCTTTCATTTATTAGCGTACTTTTCAAATTCTATTTTCACGTCATCTCTATTAGTACAGCGAGCTGATTGATTAAGGTTTAATTCTTATTTATTTATATCAAATGGCAGGCGTCTTGATGGTTATCATTAACCCTTTAGTTGACTTCAGACTTCACAGAGGAGAAGGAACATCAAATCGAAAAAGTCGAGAGGGGGGGGGAACAGAAGAGTGTTTCAAAGATGTAAGAGACAAACACAAAGGTAGAAAAAAGGTAAGAAGAGTACTGTGAAAAAATAGTCGAATATGGCATAGTGTGAGGTGGTGGCAGTTTGAAGTGAGAAGTCAACTGCCAGTTAATTGACTTTTTTGTATGAATATACGTTGCCCAGGGTGCACCACGTGGAGGTAAGTCTATCGCACACCCAGGTTTAATTCTTTAAAATGGCTGATTTCACAAAACATGAAGCCGATTTGTGTAATTCAATGTAAGGTGCGAATGAATTTGAGCTTATTCTATAGCCGTAATAGAATTGAAGTTCTCTTTTGAGTCCCCGTTTTTTTTAATTCTTCCTGACCTCTTAGAGTCCAATTTATTAACCATTGGAAAGAATCTAATTACTGGCAATCGAGGAAATTTGAAATGGTTTGGGATCTCAATATATTGATGCCTGTTAAAATAGTTCTACTAAACATTAGTAAGTTCATGAGCTCTTTTNGGGGGGGGGTTGGGGTGGGAGGTGGTGTTTATGAAATCGGTTGCGCCTATTTACAATCCCCTCTTCTCGTGATCATAATGAGATTGTTTCTATTTAAAGCATCTGTTTGGTTTTGCAAAATAGTCTGGAAGTAGTTGTTTATGCTAATTTACCTTTCCAATTGTTGCATCGGATCACGCATATTTGCATGAGAGAGAGAGAGAGAGAGATGACTGCGCAATTTCAGGTATTTATTATTCACATGTTATTAATTACATTAGCGTGGTGTTCTTTTTTTATTATTTGTGGGCATTCCTTTTTGCTCACTTGATCAGTTGCCGATTGCAGGCTGCTGTGCTCGTGTGTGTGTGTGCGCGCACTTTAGGCTAGAGTATAATTGGTGGCTCTCAACCCATGTAATATGCACTTTTCCTCCTATGAGTGTTTCCCTACATCGAGTGTGTGTACGTTTTTTTTTTCATCACCCTTTAATTTAAAATTCAAACTTGAACTCGTTTGACGGGGGGGCGGGGGTGGAGTTAGTCCTTGAGTTACCTGTTAATTGATGATTGATCAGTTTCCCGATTTTGTGGTTTGTTAGTTTAGATCCCTTGGGTCTGTTAGATGGTACAGAAATTGCCCTCATATAGAATTAGGCACTGGCCTATACTGTAGAGGAATTTGCTTATCCCAAAGGCAATCCAAATCCCGAAACCCTAAGACGATGCGACAACTAGGAAATTTAAGTAAAAATATCGTTTTCTCTCTCTCTTAATCTTCAGAACTCCTTTACATTTTCTTTTTGCGTTTTATTTAATTGAATTACTCGATAATAGCATTTCAGCCAAATCCAAATGCTATCGCTTTTCTCATATGACTCGCTTGGGGGGAAGGTAAAGTATCTTTGGGTGGGGGGAGGGGGGGGGGTTCTAAATTTAGAAATGGAGTTGACTTTGTCTTGCTAACACAATCCCACTTTTCTGAGTAAATTTCATTAAGAACTAGCTATTGTCTCTTCAAATTTCACATTTCTTTAATTGTCTATGGACTGATATTTATTTATTTCAAATGGCAGGCGTTATGATAGGTATCATTAGCCCTTTAGTTGACTTCGTGCTTCACAGAAAGGAAGAGGAACACCAAAGTGACAAAAAGTCGAGAGGGGGGACAGAATAATGATTCACAGACGTAAAAGAGACAGACAGATACAAAGGTAGAAAAAAGGTAAGAAGAGTACTGTGAAAAAATAGTCGAATATGGCATAGTGTGAGGTGGTGGCAGTTTGAAGTGAGAAGTCAACTGCCAGTTAATTGACTTTTTTGTATGAATATACGTTGCCCAGGGTGCACCACGTGGAGGTAAGTCTATCGCACACCCAGGTTTAATTCTTTAAAATGGCTGATTTCACAAAACATGAAGCCGATTTGTGTAATTCAATGTAAGGTGCGAATGAATTTGAGCTTATTCTATAGCCGTAATAGAATTGAAGTTCTCTTTTGAGTCCCCGTTTTTTTTAATTCTTCCTGACCTCTTAGAGTCCAATTTATTAACCATTGGAAAGAATCTAATTACTGGCAATCGAGGAAATTTGAAATGGTTTGGGATCTCAATATATTGATGCCTGTTAAAATAGTTCTACTAAACATTAGTAAGTTCATGAGCTCTTTTGGGTGAAGGAAGTGGTGAAAGCGAACCCTGAATGAGGAGTCAATTCTGTTCTCTCATCTTGTTTCGACTCCTGTCTTTGCTTGAATTCGTTCAGTATTTAACAATGTTTGCTTAGTTTCAGCGATTGTATTCATTATTATACTTGAACTTAAAAGCTTTATGATCTACCTCTCGAACATTCAGGAAGTACAAGTTGCCAAAGGAGGGAGGAGGGGGGGAGTGTTTCCATACTTTAAGAGGAAATAGTAACTAAGGCGGAAGAGGTGGCAGTCATCAAAGCCTTCTTTTTAGTCCCATAACTCTCAGCCCGACTGCTATGCTATTTCCAGTTGAAGCTCTTCAAACCTCTCCTTACTTTTCATCGTCTTGGTCTGCAAGCGACAATATCCCATGTTATTTCGACTCTATTCCTTCTTCGCACACTTCTTATTAGCTGACAGCTTTCCATTCTGTGGTAGAAAACATTTTGCGAGGTTTAAGTAATTCGACCCTAGGGTCTAGTAGGAGAACTCTATTCCATAAGGATCTCTGCGATTGTCCTGTAATGTCCGTCCTCGTAATTTGTTGGAATTTTTGTATCTCAGTCCCCAGGCAATTCCCTCTGCTTTTAAAATACCTGTATTGATTTTATTTCCACACTTCACTATTCTCATTATTAGATGAATTCAAGCTCAAGAGCCTATATATGTTTTCCCTGTTTCGGCTGTTCCAAAGCCCTCTTCTTCTGTTCATTTGTTCTTTGCCAAATTGAATTTGTTCCTTTGTTTGCTTTAATTGTTCTCACTAGCGGCCCTTCAATCGCGCTGACTTCTTGACCAGACTGTTGTGTCAGGCTTTTGTTTGGAGTTGAAAATTTAGCCACTCCTGCTAAACTGGACAATTTCCTAGCCAGACTGAAAAAAACATCAATATACGCAAGTTAGGTAACGAGGGGAGGGGGGCACCTAAGTTGACCTCTTCAAGGTCGTGAGAGATTAGTCATTAGCTTTTTAGTCAAGAAAAGAGATCGACAAAAAACTGTACTTGCCAGAGCTTTCCGAGTGGAGTTAACTCAAGATGAATTTTAATGCCTTTTTTCACTACTTATTTTTATTATTAAGCTCAATGTAATATCACTTCGTTGACAATGTGTGTGTGTCCTAGATCAGGCCAGGTTACTCGAAGGACAGTCGTCTTCAATAGTCCACAGTTAGAATTAGAGATGTTGGGGAAGCGTGATCTACATTGATTTTTATTGACAATAATGATAAAAATTTATTTATATAAATGGCAGGCGTTTTGATAGTTATCATTAGCCCTTTAGTTGACTTCAGGCTTCACAGAGAGGAGGGGGAACATCAAAGTGGAAAAAAAGTCGAGAGGTGGGGGGGGAACAGAAGGGGGCTTCAAAGACGAAGG